CAATTCTAGAGTTGACCAATGATGGACGACGTGGGAAAGGGAGAAAGGGTTTTGTACTTGGAATTATGCTGCCTTGTAGATAATAGAATGATGCAGTCGGTCAAACCAGATACTATTTTTGTTTTTTAAGTGTGTTTAGAAGGTTGATTCCATCACAATTCGAGGATTTTGAACAGGATTGATGGTGAGAAGTAAGTGACTGCCCGAGTTTTCGAGAAGGGACAAAATTTTCGATTTGTCCAAAAGTTTGCCCATATGGGGAGTTCGACTCCCTGATTACGAATATCGCACTTGTTCGAAGCGAAAAATGCCTGGCGCCTGCGCTACAAGCGCCCAAAGTAGTGAGGAGCGATGCCGCCCAAGTTCGTTATTAATTGCCCTTAAATTCTTTGTACTGTTAACTATACGCAAGCATGTTGGACTAGCGATGTTAGGAGTCTTCCTAGCTATCTTACTGCAAACGGCAAAAGAACAAACTCGCCAGGAGTTGATCCCCTGACCTCTTTTTGTGAGCCTCGACCACTGCCCTGCGCTTTTCTGCTTCATAATTCCTTTCAGAGAAGAGTTCAGCAGATAAGGAACACAGATTTGAGCTCAGCGTTTCAAGGCGCGTATAGAGTATGCGTCCCATTTCAACTGGCCGCCTTGACCAAATGACCTTTATTAGTTAGAAAAACTCATTTTGACAAATTTCAGGTGAATAGTCGTTTCTGTAATCATCCCACTCCACGGAGCATTATAGTCTTGTTGCGGTGTTGTCGCGTTTTTATTCAGGTGTTTCTTGTTTTTGTATATTTTCTGATAATTAATTTGTTCCCTTTCCGTTCTGAGTCGATAATAGTATCACTGTCGAAACTTTTTCTCTTAAAGTTCGCATTCGTGCACCACCAGTTTTACCGCGCCGCTACAGCACGTGTCATAATTCGAGTTTTCGACGACTGTAGACCAGGGTCAGTCCTATCGTTGTTACTTTTTCGAAAAATTTTTACGACCCCCCTCCCCCAAGGTGGATTTGGTACGACCCCCTTTTCCACACCTCGACCACCATATTCCTCTCTATAGTATTTAATTCTGGTACCACTCAACCCACCAAACTCCGCCCACTTTTTCCTCCAAAAACCCCCCGTTGTTAGTAGTAACAACGTAGGATTGACCCTGCTGTAGAGCCAAGAGGCCGTTTCTGATTGCTCATCTCCTTTTTTTTGGATTCCAATCAGCCGCTCAAGATTTTACATATATTTGTAGTAGCTAGGCCTTTGTATTAGGTTGGAAAGAAAGTCCTGCAACACTTTTTCAAATTTTTGATTTTAATTTTATCTTTTTTGTTTACAACTCCTGACCGGTCATATCTACCATGAGTGTCCACCACTTGTCTTCAACGCTCAGAAAATTTCTTGATGCTCCTTTGCCAAAACCCAGCGGAGTGCGGGTCGAGAAAGGAGGCGACCTCACTTTCGAGTTGGAGTTGATCGTCTAATTATTTCGTCATCAAGATGATGATTAAGGTCCAGGATAGGTGGCAGTCATTTATAGCTCGACCAGGGGAATACGCTAAGAGAGGTAAGAAATCTTGCCGCAGCTCCAGAATTTCTTACCGGGCTCATTTCGGATCATGGTGATTCGCAATGTCATGAAAGAAATAAATATTGTCGCGGTACGAGGGCTCTTGACGAGCTGCCTCGGCCAGCTTCTGGAGTTCCGCAGCCTACCTACACAATGGTGCCCATAACGAAGAATTTGTAGTGGAGCTTCCGTAAGAGCCCTACCTGTAATGGAGTGTGAGGGACGCTGCTGGCTTCTTATAAAAATATCAAAAGATCGAAAGCGCTGGTAAAGGTGAAACACGCTGTAGCGGTGAACGGCATGCCTATTGAAGCTATTGCAGATAGTGTCGGTCGTTGACACGAATCCATAGTTATGGAGACATTTGTACTAGACAGTGACTCGGAGTACGGATTTACTAGTGGTCGAGGTTTTTTGAATTTTCTTGGATAACTACTGACTGCAGCACTTATATCCACCTCGTGGATTGAAGCCTCGAGAATGCTCTACCATTTGTTAGTCATAAATGTTACCTATGAATTTTTCAGAAAAAAAATTTTTTAGAAAGAGTGTTGCAGAACTTTCTTTCCAACCTAATAACAATGACATGCACAAAAATGCGATATCACTACCACCTACTACTATCTTCCAAATATTTTTTACTAGATGTTGAAATGAATGCACTCGAATAATATATAGGGGTGGCCAAATAAAGAGACACTTCACTCCACATTTCAGACAGCATTAATCACACTTTGCTAAACTCAAACCGACTGCTCCCAACTTATATTAAAGAGCACATCCCAATCTATCAATAAACGTTATAATAGCTTTCTGCACCAAGGACATCACAAGAATTTGCCATGGGAACCTTGTGCACGGTTCGAGCTCAACTGGTCCTCGGCGGATCATGGACCATTACGACGTTATCTGAAACGCTGGTCGGAAGGGGTCTTGCATATTTAGAGCTACTGTCCCTTCAAAGCAATAAACCAGTAAATCGATTGAAGGAAATTTCTCAGCAGCTTTAGGATTTACGATTACGGGAAGATTCTTTGAAGCTAAACGGGGAGATGACGTCATATTTGTTGAGGATGGGTGGACAGTGGAAGAGGCTTGTTTACTATGAGGAGAATATTAAGATATTTTGCGTAAAATTTACATTACAGACGGCACCTTATGCGTGAAAGTTTTATGATGGCGCCACGAGTCAAGTGTCTCTTTTGGTTACCCCTCTATATTTGTCGCTTGAATGAAATTTTGTATCTATTTTAATCTATAATTTATGCATTTATTAATGCTTTCTATTTAAGGTCACTGGCGACCATATGGGTTCCGATTCTCGATGATGTGCGTGTACTTGTTTTATATTCATCGTATTTTGATCGAATCGTATGATCTCCCAAAGATGTACAAAAGTGCTTGTTTCGTTGTGCCGCCAGATGTCTCAACGAACACCAGGTGGGTGAAAAAAAAACTATCAGTGTGAATAAAGTAATAAATGAGTAATGAATGGGCCACCGTAAACTGTGGTATACTGGAGGGGGAGGAGCACGTTGGAGAGCTTGTTTCAAAGCTTTTTTCAAGCGTTCCGATTGGGCTTAAATGTTAAAGGGACAAGAATGAAAATGTACAGCAAGAGAAACAGTATAAACTCTCTTCCTAGGGTGAGGATATCAACAACTGTTTGGCCGATTGCAAGGATTACGGAAATCCCAAACTCTGCGTAAGTTATGCAGATTTCGTAAGAGTACATAAATGTAAATTCCTCGTTTTACTTTTCGTTTTTTGGCTTATTTCTTGTTAAAAAGGTTTTCTGTGCACTTGGTCATCGTCAAAGTGATGATGTCACTCATTCCACTGTAAAACGAAATGAAGTCCTTTTCGGATTCGCAAATTTGATATCGATCGAATTCCGTAATAACTTCGTATAGCAAGTGTTCCCGACGGTTCATATCGCGTTTAACACAACGGAACGGGTTGACTCGTTCGTCAAAGCGAGAAGAGCGGCCATATTTTGTGGTTTTAGGATGGAGTCGTAATAGGCGGTATAGGTTCGCATCTCTGGAAGACATGGGAGGAGGGAACGTCATTGATGGCTGAATAGAAAAGAGAGAGGGGCGAAGGAGAGGACTCTGTGATAATAGGGTGTTAACAACATAAAAGCATAAGCGACCGTTGATCAATCCCTTTTTGGGATGCGGCACGCATTCTACTTCCATTTGTACATTCGTAGTGGCGTTTGAATGCGATGTGGCCTATACAATGACTTGCGGGGGCCAGCCGATGTACAAGTCAGTGTTTTTTATCTCCCAGACAGTTGGTTATGTAAGGGCGGAAGTGGTGTAGTGGCAAGTGGCACGCTTACCACGCGAGCGGTCCGGGGATCAAATCCTGGGTCGTGAGTCGCCCGGGCCAACCAAGCCTTCCATCCCTCCGGGGTCGGTTAATTGGTACCAGACTTGGAGGGGGTGGGAGGACAAAAACCAAAAATCGGCCAGCTGCCGATGCTTAATGTTTTACTACTGTTCATAATGTTTCATTCGAAGGGCCACAACTGTATCAGTATAACAGCACTTTCTTCCCATTGTAGGGTGGTTTAGAAGCGGGAAGAGCTTGGCTAGTTTAGCTTGATGTTTATTGAGTTCTGGGAGAAATTTCTTCAGAAACCGAGACTTACTATATTTGTGGATGGCTCCAGCAATTAAATGGTTAGCTCGCCGAAGTACGGTGGTCGAAGAGATTTCTCTGTCAGTTTTTCGTGATTATTGCTGAAATAAGCGATATCTCGCCTTTTTTACTCATATGCTTTACGATAATGTTTTCGAAACACGCCATGGTCTCTCCAAAGCTTCTATCTCAGCGACTTATAGTAATTATTAATAGAGGATGAGATAGATTAAATGAGTTTTAGAATCAATGCTAATGCGATTAGGAATATGTCGGATTAGGGAACCAAATTCAAACCCTATTCAGTGTTCTTGTTTGGCGTGGTTACGCACCCAGAGACGCTGGTGGCGTGGCATGGAAACACAGTGGAAATCCAGCTGGGTTTGATTTCCGTATAACCAGATGCACGGAGGCAGTTAATGGCCGGATGCGAAAAATCGTTTGAGTCCTCTATCCACGCCCAAGCACCTTCATCTGCTTAGAAAGAAGGGGTTTCCCGTAATTCGGCTTTGTCTACGTTACTTTTGTTTTATCAATATTTGTTCCGTTTTGTCGCTTACTTTACACTCACCCTAATGAGCGCGGATTTCCTTACGCAGAACGCTAGTTCTTATCAAGGTTGCCTTCAAGTCATTAAGTTAGTCATATGAGCGCTCTGCTAGAGGTTTTTTATTTAGATTGGAATGAATGAGGCGTACATCAGAAGATCCAACTTGCTAACATTTGTCCGTTTCCCAGCGATTATCAAGACACTTGTAGTATCGCTTATAGATGCTGAAAACCACCACACCAGTATTCATCATGATTATTTCAGGAAGTCAGTGACATACCATGTTGGGATCGGTGTAGAGACTTTGGTCCTCAGAAGCCGATCCCGGTAACGAAAGGGTTCCGTTCAGAGGAAAAGAACCTTTCGTCGGTTGTTGTATTCGATCAGGTTCCGGGCGCATCATTCTACGTTGTACAGTTCAAAAAACTCCACTCCGCCGAGTTCCCGATCGATCAATTCCAGGTGATTACATTTTATTGATAAACCATCAAAACGATTCCATTTTGTTCTCGTCAATAAGTGCAGACGAGAGCAATTTGTGATGGTTACATTTCAACAATCAGATTGTACGAAATAGTGTTAACAAGGGTTAGGACAGGGACTGGGTGATTGGAGGATGCGAGTGTTGAGGATGGGCTGCTTCTCTTCGCTTGATTCCCTAGTTGCGTAGGCCAATAGTGTGAGTTGCTACTGGTATTATTTGTTCCACTGAAAAGGTGCGTTTCGAAATGTTTTTTGAGCACTTAATTTTTGCAAATAAATACAGATTATCCTGGTGAAAGTGCTAGGTTCTTTATGCAAATTAAATTTCTGAGCAGAAGACCAAGTTTTGTGACACAGGAACTTTTTCTATTATATTTTCAGTTTTCTTCAGCAGTCTAAATTTTGGTATCCAAAGTTTGTGAATCTTGTACCATTGATATCGCGTAGCTGTTTCAAGGCAAACGGTCTTAATTCACTTAAAGGCAAAAGTCGGGCTCAATAAGGGGGTATTATGGCGATTGAAACTGAGATATGAAGTGGAACGACAGTGGAGAAAAAACTGAGAAAAACCGTCGACAAGGCCGTTAACAAAACCCTCCCACTAGCAGTGAAGGAGGCTGGCTTGGGGAAAGAGGCACGTACAAACAAGTTTTCTGGAGATGTCAGTCGTTCTATCGGTTGATACGGCAATCAACCTAGCTGATTTCACACGTTATGCCAGCCACGCACCACTTCCGGAGGTGGGCGGTCCCGGATTGACGAGGCGGCCCGGATTGAAACCGACGGCCCCGGGGCCTTAACGACGTTTTTCAAGGTGGGAAGTTGCTGCAATGTGTGCAGCTACCCACATACAACCTCCAGGCACGGGAATTACTTCTCTAGCGTGCTGAGCCCGACCTTTGCCTTTAAGCAAGGTTTATAGAATGGGGTTGGTGCGGGAGACATTCCATTGCCACAGCATTCCCTTCCCTTTGAAGAATATTAAATGGGTGGGTTTGGGTTCGACGCAGTCGTGGAGAAAACCACCTTTCATCGAGTTTCAGTAATTGGGTGGGACCAAATTTGATCCATGCTTCACCTGAAACACATCCAGGAAGAGTTTGAAAAGAACTGGTGCTTCAGCTCCTTTTTTTCTGCGAAAATTGAAGAAGCTCGAATATACCCTCGCTGCGTCAATCTTTTTAATCCTCCCCAATGGAACTGATCTTCTACAGGGTGGGGCATAAATATGGTGACAAAATAATTGCGGCTCAGTTCTGACTAGAAAATATGTAGTAACGGGGTATTACCTATAGCTATGTGTGACCTTATCTTGTCGTGCAAGCTGGCATTTTTTGTTCAAAATGGCCGCCCAGGAACTCTGCAATTTCCTTCAAAAAGACCGTACCGAAATCAACCTTTTTTGGAGGGCAGCCTTTAGCTCAATTTGAGCTGCGTTGTTCGTGCACTCCTTCAGCTTCAATATCAACTTCATTATATAATCCAGTACAGTGGCATTGGAGATTTCAAGTGGCCGAAATTTGTCCAGCCAATAGCCGGACAAATGGGCTCCCATCAGATTTTCCAAAAATTCAGTCCCTGAACAACACGTTGCTAGTGAATCTAATTGTTCTTTATAGTTGAACTAAAGATACGCCAGCTTTTTCCAAATCCTGTATTGAATAGCATTAAGTTTGACCTGTCGCTTGTACTCAGACGAAAAACCGTGGAGGGGAGGAAGTCGCGGTTGACCAGCTTCAATTCGTTTTGGGCTAGGAAGATAAAGTCCATTTTCTTTGTTCCTATTCAATAGATTTCTTAGAAAACCCTGAGATTTCTTGAACAAGGTATGGTCGTTAACGAGAAATAAAAAAGTTTCTTCGGTCTTCACATTCATTGAGCTCCATTCACGACCCACAAAAAATGTTTTTTTTCTGCCCAAGGGAAGAGCTCGATGTTATGGCATTCATAAGTTTGTATTCGGTGCATTATAATGGTAACGTAATTCCCCCTTTACCGTTTATAAGCTTTTGAAGCCGTCGATGTGTCAGAGGGGGTCGCAACAGGATTTTCCATGCGCCACACTGAATTGCATCGGATTCTATTTTGACAATATATATTCTTGGACAGCCGTTAGCTCCCACAACAGGTCGATTGGTTACGAGGAAGACCATTATAGTACGTCGCCCTCGAGTCGGCAACGGTCTTGCGCTTGGCTGATATCTTCTGTAAGCTCTCCACGAGGTTGTTAAGTAGACTTTATTGGCTTACGTTTCGGCGGGGTCGCCTTCTTCAGAGCCTGAAAGGATCGAAGCAATTTATGACTACCCGACCAAACGCCTCCGCTATCCTACTGAAATTCGAGAACAAAACAGGTCATCCACGCAATACCAAGGTGGGCCACTTACCGTAACTTAGTCCGGTACTCGAGACCACCCGGAACCAGTAGTGGGACACACAGCAATCCGGAATTTCTGTCCTTGCGATTCACCCCTCAAAAACAGCAGATCATGGAATTAATTTCGTCGGTGGGGCGTGAGACAAGAAATTCTATTTGTTTCGGATCAGGTGGAGCCGTTCAACAAATAAAGGTCATAAAACAGTGAAATTTGAAGCAGACTCTTGAATAGAAGAGTACAACGGATCTTGTAATTAAACCAGAGGCTGTACAAACTTCTGAGGAACTGCGTCTTGAGGTTCTTGAGGCTCACCCAGTATCTGATTGAGGTGGAAGTTGCAAGGACTTTATATGTTGTTCAAACAAAGGTACAGTCGATATCCGAAAGTTGGGGTGGGTGTGTCACCGGAAGTGACGTGCACTTGATAGAAGTGCGTGGATAAGCTGTTGCCAGCATGCTTTGCTGATAGCCAGCGATGTATGTTGGAAGCAGCTTATCCACATAGTTTCTATCAAGTGCACGTCACTTCCGGTGACACGCCCACCCCAACTCACCGATATCGAGTATATAAATTGATTTAAAGGCAAAAGTCAGGCTCGTGTTTGGGCATTATGGCGCCTGAAATTGAGTGTAGAGATGGGAGGTGGAACGACAGTGAAGAAAAAACGCAAAGAAACCGTCGACAAGACCGAAATCGAAACCCCTTCCCTTCTAGCAGTGAAGAGGCTTGCTCGGGGGAGCCACGTCCAAACGAGTTTTCCGGATATGCCAGCCGTTCCATCGGTTGATACGGCAATCAACCTAGCTGATCTCACACGTTAGGCCAGCCACGCACCACATCCCGCGGTGGGCGGGACCAGCTGATGTAACGAACCCATCGCTGTAAGTAGTAGGCCAGAGGCCTTGACGGCGCGCAATCTCGAGTCAGGAGTGTGGCATCACCCCTCTGAGCGCATTCCTGGAAATATTAGTGATGGAAAGGCCTTCTATGGTCACCTAATCCTGACTCGTGGCTTTAAGGTGCTCAGTAATTTCGATCAAGCTCTCTGATTCACATTATATGCCCTGTTAAATCGTTACGACCATAGAAAAGGGCATACTCAGTAGTAATTCCAGCAATGACTGAAAGAAGTAAGCCATCATAAATTGCATTTCAGGTAACTATTCAGCCTGTCTTTTTTCAAATCTACAAAAACCGGAGGCGATATTCTGTGACCCACTCACTATCAGGTATTGAACTATTCGTTGTTTTCATTCGTTTTTCACTTACAACATTTCTTGTTTTCTGTCAACCAATTGCCTTCGCCGCTTTCATGTACAGTTCTGCCCCCCAGAAGTATAGTTCGTCGGACCAATTTATTGCTTCGAATATCGCCGTAAGCACGCCAACATCTTTCGTTCCAAATTTTTGTAGCGGCAGTGATACTTGGATAGCTGTTTTTGGATATACGTGACACACTAGAAAGCAAGTCCAGCGCTCTTAATCATTTATTTTTTTCCCAATATCATAGTGTACTAAAGGTGTAGGATCGCTTTGTTTCTCTGCACTGTGTTTCTATTAGGATAGGTTGTGAACGCAAATTCTCATTGCTTCTCCTTCCCTTATATTCTGCAGATTTGTTTAAGCAAGGTAGAAATGCAACATGTGGGAATCACAAAGAGGGCAAAAAGCTCATAATGACGTGACAGTAAAGCGCAACAATTTGGAGAAAATTAAGTTCAACTATCAACTAGACCAGGATATACTACCACGACTTAGAGTCCTACGGCACAAGTACGAAAATCAAAATATCGGAGAGCCTTTCTGAGAGGCAGAGACGTCGAATCCACAAAATTGCGTCCAGCTATGTGAAGGGTGTGCAGCGACTAGACAGGAGCCGATATTTTATGTGTCGAGAACCTAGCTGAACGGCGTCTGCTGCCCCATGCATCTCCCAAATATATCGAAGCAGATACAAATCGCAGCTACCCTGCGTACCATGTACAAGGCACGGGAAGCCCCTCATTTTTTGCTACGGAGGCAAGGGTCAACCCTACGCTTGTTACTAAGTAAGCAACGGGTGTTGGACCTGGGTGGGTTTGTGGGGGGGGGGGGGGGTCGTATAGGTTGGGAGTTGGGAGCGCGCGTGGGAAAAATTCGCCGTTTCAGCCAGCGTGTGTATATAGCCCTCCAGAAGAGGAAGCAGTGGGAAGATAGGTAAAGGTGGATAAAAGTAAGAGTAAAATGGTGGAAGTTTAGAGGTTTAGGTTAATTTTTACTATTTTAGGTGAATTTTTACTGTTTCAGAGCAATTATATGTACCCCCTTCCCTCCGCTCGACGGCATTTTTGGAGGAAAAAGTGGGCGGAGTTTGGTGGGTTGAGTGGTATCAGAATTAAATACTATAGAGAGGATGATGGTGGTCGAGGGTCGAAAAGGGGGTCGTATCAAATCCACCTTGGGGGAGGGGGGTCGTAAAAATTTTTCAAAAAGTAACAACGATAGGACAGACCCTGCTAGCGGAGTACTTATGTACATTGTTGGGGGCACCAATAGGCTGAGGTGATTTGCAGTGATGTTCTCTTTATGTATGTAGTAGCGGTGCAGAGGTGTAACTGGTATTTGTTTGAGATGCATAGAAGATTCTGGCGAAATCGATAGTTTAAATGAACATCATTCCAGGCAACACAAGCCACGCTTGTCACCTATAAGCGCATTCGCTGACGGTAGCGATGGCTTCTGTCGCCTCATGGCTTCTGTATGAGTCGAATCGTGTTCATCGGTGTTCATCGCACATCCTCCTGAACTGCAGTGCCTACTAGAATGTCCTCGTAATACTAGTTACTACCATATAAGCAGCGATTGTCATTCATTGCTCCACCTTAGCAAGACAGTGTCCGTCACGCAAGTATTCGTCAAACATAGCGTAATTTTACCCAAACCCGAATTCAGTCAAGCACCTCTAAGACATCCTCGTTCCAAATTTCAATCCGCTGCGAACCGTTCGTTCCAATTGGAACATTCGAAAAATCCCATCCAAAAGGTTTAGAAGCGCGATACCTATCCGAGCAATCTAACAACTTGTCTTGACCACACCAAAGCGGATGATTTAAATCACCCAAAGAAAGAGAATGTGACAAGGGTACAACTATTATTATTGTTGCAAGTTTTGCTAGGTGCATGTAAAAGAAATCTGGGGCGGTAGTAAAGTGCCCTAAACTAGCAATCAAATGTGGTGAATTTTTCCCCATTGACGAGGAACAAGCGGCGTGGAAACATGGACATGACCCTTCTTGAAACCACCACCCTCGGCACAGTGCCTGTTCCGCCCCTTTGCCTGAAAACTAGCGCCGTTCTAAGGACTTGAACCCTGGATGGTAGATTCATAGCCGGGTTTTTGCCACTGCACCAGGGATCACTCGATCACACACTGGAAGAGATGTTGATGACAGGTAAGCAACGGATGTTGTTTGCAAATCTTAGACTCAAGCGGTGTTGATCCAGCAACCTTGCCAGCGGCAGCGTGGAACGTTCCCATTGAGCCATTGGCAATTTGCCATAGTGGAAGTGGTGAGCATCCACCACGTTGCCTGCAAAGCTTGCGTCACACACGGGTTTGAACCTTTGGTGCACCGTCCCATGAGCGGCATCGCTACCACTGCACTAAGGAGCCCTTCTTATCGACAGTGAAAGGGTTGTAGAGAAAAGGGAATAGCCTGCGAAGGTTGCAAACCTTTAGACATCTCGAAGAATTGATCCCGCGACTGATCCAACACCAACGTAGACCGCAGGCGCTACACCACTGACGAATCAATGCAAGGTGCCTCCCTTTCCCTTTCCAACACCGTGCTTTGACCCACGCACCTGGCAGTTTGAAGTTGGCCAACTCCAAAAAGTCCTCCGAAGGACTTTTTGCTGCGCGTAACGGGCGTCACCTGCGTCTCTCCAAACACATTGTATTTCTTCGCCCTCCGCGTCCCGTTTTCTGTCAGTGAGCCTTCCTGCGCGTTCTACGGCTGCGCGTGACAAGGAACCACCTGCCAGAAGGAGCTGCAGCTCACCTCAGAGTTCCCCAAATAGGTCT